AATAATAGCGTGCACTTTTGTGATCATCTATAAAATATTCATTTCACGCTTGGTAGAAGAAAAATTATGGTTTCTTTGCAACATTCTCTTGGATAAATACAAAAATTCAAACTTACAAGTAATGTTGGTAAACCGTTTTACTACATCAAAAAATACAAAAAGAAACAAATTAAGTCTCATTTATAATCCAAATACAATTGAATAAACACTAATTTCTTCAGAAGTGGACGATTGAAGTATATGTGACTAAAAATTTATGTTTTTGAGTTCATCCGTGCTTCGGACCCAACTGTATTATTGCCACTCGTTTATTTCACCCAATGATCCGCATTGGGTTGACTGTTCTGAGCTGTTCTCCCAACATGTAAATACATTATTTTCTCAACATATAAATATGTACATAACGGGAAAGGAAACTTAGATATTAACGGACTTCAAAAAATAGGAGGTATTCGGTTCAGCTTAAAAACATATTTATATGTCTGTTCCACAACATCTTTGTCAATAAACTTCGAAGATTCTATTTTGATAATAAATAAGTTGGTTATTTTATATTAAAAAGTATAAAGCTTCTATCACAAATTTCTGAAATAAAACATTGTAAAGTGATAATAAACTACATACAATTTATTAATACATAAACATAATCTTTATCATTATATTTGAAAATATTCTTAAGCACTTTTCAGTGCTTTAAATTCTCCGAGATGGGACTCGAACCCACGACCTTACGCAATGCCGACGACTGCTCTAATCACTGAACTACCCAGTACTTGTTATTTTTTCGCTACTACAGAACATACTTTCATCAAGATTTTTAAGCATATTTAATTAAGAATATAATTATTATCATTTCATAGCAGTATTGTAAAAGAAAAATAAAGTAAATTTAGTAGTTGAATAATTTTTATTACAAGAAAAAAACATTTCGTCATATATTCACGTTTAAAAAATAAAAGAAAACTCACAAAGAAATCATCGTGAAAATCAACGCTAGCTCTATTTACATAATATGAATACTTCAGCTGATAGAATGAACGATTAAGGGAATTTTATCATTCAGAGACATCCAAAAGGGGCAGTTAATTTTTAGTGACATAAATTAGGAGGGAACGAGAGAGGAGGGCCGCCGGCCCATCCAAGAAAAAATAACAAACATATCCTCGAAAGTAAGAAAACAAACAACGCATGTTAACATCTGTTGGGACTCGTGCCGTACAGTCGAGCGCGAAACGTTTACGTTCTATTTATATCAGGTTAGATACGAGTACCAATATCTAGATGTATATATCTATTAAATCGTACAATATATTGACGCATAATACTATCTTCGCAAAAAGTAATACATGTATTATTTCGCAATATAAATAATGATTTAATGAAAAATTTTTATTGTCAATTATAAGGGTTTTCTTACAATAAAATAAAATAGTAACTTTGCAAAGTAATGTAAAGATTGGCATTTGGCAATTCCCAGATATTTTAAAGAACAAATCAAGACTTTTAGAAATGTGCAAACATTTACCACGTGAGTTGTAATCGTTAAAAGCGAAGTAACTAAGACGCTTCGTTTAAAACAATTTTATTTAGCTATTACAGAAAGTATTTATGATAAAAGTATATATACTTACAAACAAATTACACACTACTTGTATGTTTTCATACGTACTACTCATTAAATAAAACAATTTATCGTGTTATCATGTGTAATTAAAAAAAAAAATACATTTACAGACGTTTCAGATTATTACATTTATTCTAATTATTGAAAACGAACCCAGTAAAGGTTCCGAAGAGCCTATAAATATGATATTTTTTTAAGAAATACCCGTCATATTATTCATTAAATTACTTAAAAACTTATCATTTAACTAATTTGCTCTCAAACTAAATCTAAATTATTTTAAATTGGATCTTTAAGTTTTATGCCCAACTGTATAAATGCCTGAAATTCAATACGTCAGTGTTGATTGCAGTTAATTATAAATTCGCCCCTCTCTTTCTTACTGTCTGTTCTAATTTGGAACGCTCCTTGTGCTTTCACAATGCACTCTAACTTTTAATACTTATCACTTAAGATTCATATTGCCATATCTGTTAGCAAATATTACAAGTTCTTTAATATGAACTCTTCCTAAATCAAATTGAAATCAATGTTTAACTGCATCTCTTTCTTTGAGGGTATTACTTCCGTCGATGAAAAGGTCCGCTCAGTCCTTTCCAACGTTTGAAATGGTCTTTTTTAGCTTTAAAAGCTATTCGAAATCCATTCGGATAATCGTTTGATTAGTTCTGTATGGGTTACATTTAAAGTTGGTTGAATATATAAAGAATAATGGAACTGTAGTCTACAGGAAATAAATTGCTTATTGATGTATTCTTGTTACTTCTGTTACTTTGACAACACGATCATTGTGCTTCATATCAATTATAACTATCTTCCAGATATGAAGGAGGAAACGAAATCTAACAATAGATCTACATGACATTGCTTTTTATCGAAATTTCGAACATAAAGTTATAAAAGCTAAGAGAACATTCATTGAAAATGAAGTGGTATCATTAAAAATGTCACACGTTACTTCAAATAGGGATGTTATGGTAAATAGTACATATATTATATTGTATATTATTATATCTAAAAATATCCAAGTAGCAGTGTTATAATATATTTTTATGAGTTGTACAAAAACTCTTGAGTGACCATAGCGTGTTTCGTCTTTATATTTTATCAATGACTGTGTTAATATTTCTTAAGAGAGAAAACTACTGTAGAGATAAAATATAGTTGCAGCCAAAAAGTTGACTAAAAAGATTTAATATTTGGTCTTAATCTTTCTTTTGTTGATTTATTGTATTATTATTAAAAGTTATTGTGTTCACACTTTTAATTCACATAAAGATAAAAGTTAAATATCAAAGCTTTTGAGTACCACAGGGTTAAATATTAGAGCCACATTTATTTCTGTACAATAATAGGCTTAATATTATTTTTATTTTGAAAAGTACAATATAAAAACCGTTGACACTAATTATTCTTGGAAGAAAATATAGTCGAATGACGCTGGTTTCACGTTTCATGTAATACTATTGATGAGGCTATAAGTTCGTTTCCTATTTGCAAACAGTAAATATATGTTAAAGCACAATGTTTATAAGGTACTAGTGATTTTTTTATCACATATGTTATTAACAATATTAGTGAAATAAAATTTGCAACCAATCCAGTTGTTTCAGTTTATCTAATACTTAAAAGAGGATAAGGATAGAACATTGACTATTTCAATTTTCAAGTCTGTATAAGTATGAACACATGAGATCAAATCACATCTTTATAAGTATGAATAATTAATAACAACCAGGAGTTTATGTAATCTTAACATTAAATACCATTTTAAATCTAAGTATTTTTCATTAAACTGTATCTTTGTACCGTCATCTAGTAGAATTTTATTTTATTTTACAATATTTAACCTGTAGTGGATATGACCAAAGCCAGTTGTTTATTATTATAGCTATTTTTCAGTGGTACGCAAAAACAGTTCGCGGTATTAAGTGACAATGCTAGTTAATCACTAGTGCGGTCACAATATTTGGAGGTGCGGTACACCGCGTTGTTTTGTGGGTCATTTAGTTAAATTCCATTGTAGTGAAAACTGTTTCAGTTTTGTTAACAGAATAGGGCAAAGATACGTTTTTTTTGTTACTATATATGGAAGACACTTGCTGCTTTCCTTTTAAAATTGTAGCATATCACTTACCTAAGCAAGTGAAAGAATTTTCAGAGCAAACTAACAAATAATTGAAACTTTCCTGTTTTAATAAAATATATATATTAATCAATCTACCTTCATGCCAAGTTTCAGCCCGATCCGTCGAGTGGTTTGGGCTGTGCGTTGATAAATCACTATATCAGTCAATCTCCTTTGAGTTATATACCTATATTTAGATGGTATGGAATCCTTCGTGCACGAGACCGAGTCGCACTTGGTCAGTTATTGTTTTTTTTTTACATGCTTTTAATACTAATAATATTTATTTTCCAAGACTACATTAATAATGTATGTAATATAAAATATTCGACAGTCCCAACCCTAGGCTAGATCTGACCTGTAGGACACAGTAAAATGTTTGTTTTGGAACTGGATCATAAATAATAGATTTATACTGTTGAGCGGTCAACAGAGTTGCACAAACGTCCATTGTGGTTTAATGACGTCTTTAAGCGCTAATGAATATCAAATTTGTCTGCATAGACTGAAACAACCAACTGAAAACTATTTTAAAACCTTATGTTTTATTTTATTGAAGTTCTATGCTGTGACAACTACGTGCTAGACGTAGAGTTCTAGTCTGCTTTTATTACAAAAGTTCTTTTGATATATACATAAGTAATTTAACGGCTAGCTACTGAAATGTCAAATTACATAAATTATACAGTTATAAGTACAAAAAAAAATAAGAAAAACGACGCTACAATAATGGTATATTCACCTACCGCTTCATCTACCATTTTTGGCGTTGTTTTTCTTATTTCGCTGTCATCACGCTGTATTAGATTCCATTATGCTGTTTTTGCATGCTATTAAAAAATGGCGATACACGAGGATACCTAAGATTGTATAAGAAACAATTATCACTATTAATGTCAAACGATAACTATGAAATTAGAGAATAACTAATAAAAATAAACTTTTAGTGCAACGAAAACATTTAACAGCAATATGCTATTCTGTTTAAGTCGCTACCATTAGTTTATACGCCAAATTAAACACCTATTATCCTCATATACGTTACCCTCAAAACGTATCTCTTTCAGATTTATTCACGTTTTAATTGCTTCTTCACACAAGATTTCAGGCGCGAGATCGCAGCTGAATGCGAAAATCTCTTCCATCCCTCTCCTGTCTAAATACCGCACGACCTGCAACCCTTACGGGGGTGCTCTGTCCTTTTCTCGCGGATACTTGGCTAACATAGCAATATCCCTTATGTAAGTCAGTGCTTCCAGCGGAGACATGGTGGACGGACGCGCTCTGTGTTGCATCCGAAAATGCCGAGAGTATACGAGCTGCCGGTTCGCGCCTCAAAGAGTGTTAACTTGTGCTTAAAAAAACTTGCATAAACCAAAAATAAAATACAGTGGTACAAGTGATGCAGCCGACTGTGATCGTAAATCAGGAAAGGAAATGGAATGCCAAAGCGAAATTTCTTTTAAAGTTACACAGCGGGATTAAAAAAAGATTTATCTATGGAAACAAGAAGAAACTAGGTTTATTTTCGAAGCTTACACATTATGTTGCTTCTAGTAATCCGTGCAGGGGCTCACGTTAGAAACTTTTTGTAGAAAACACTTTATCGTAATGATCCCCTAAAGTAAATATAAAAATAGATTGCTATCAGTAAGAACTTTTTTTTTAATATGACACTATACTTTCTAACGGGTACTTGAGAATGTTCTTAAGTAATTTGTCAACGAGTTAATTAAGAACTAGTATAAACGTTGACAGATTTAGTGGAAACAGGTAGTGTTCTTGGAGGAGATAATTTGTGACGAGATGCTCTCGAGCAATTTAAAAATTAGAGATCGTCTATTTTGAAACAAACTAATTAAGGGTACGTAAATTTATTTAGTGGTGTTAATTATTAGTGGCGATGAAGAGAAGAAGAGTGTCAAATTAAATAAATTAGAATTAACTGTGTAAAATATAATAAAGATAACACAAAATGGCGAGGAGTTTGAAGAACACGAGGAAGCATTCTTACATCTTGAATGCTATTCTACTCATGGTGTCCATGATTTACGGTAAGAAATTTAAAATTTTTACTTAATTAGGATATTTTTTGTCATCAAGTTCTGTGATAACTGTTTTCCAATTTAACTTTTAATAAAAATGGCCAATAGAATCTTAAAACATACATTTTATTTAAAAATATATTCGAAAAACACTCCTTTATAGTAGTATATTTTTTCGTCAGAAATCACTAATTCCAATTATTTATAAAAATAAAATTAATACAAATTAAAAAATGATTAGTTATCGTAAAATATATATTGTGTTTCTTCTTATTCTTTATTCAACGGGCATCTTCGCAACTCGACGACCAAATTGCGCCTATTTGGCGTGTGGATAAATTGCACTTTTTTATTTCACTTTTATCTTGATACTAATGCATTTCTAGTTAAGACCAGTTAAGAATATTTGTACAAGAAAAATATTTTTTTCGAGTGTTTTATAATATTTGATTTATTTATTTAATAAAATAATAAAAAGTATATAAAGAGGTCTCAATGCCAGGCATTATCTAACAGTCTCGAGAGTTGTTTAGCACAGAATGTTAAAAGTTTTATCCAACAGAAAAAAAAACACGTGCAATCCGTCTAATCTATATAGCATTCCAAAATATGAGATAAGTATAAAGAATAGTATTGTAAAATTATAAACGTATTTTTATCTAAATTGAAAGTTTGAAAAATATTTGTAAAAACGTTTCATTAGTTTAGGTAGATATTTTTTTGATAAAAAAAATACTCTCTTGTAATGAAGATTAGGAATACTTAATAAATTCGCTAATCTTGGTCTCCTGTGGCTCTGTTCGAACCATGCCCGAAGAACGAGAAATTTTTGGTTGCCTGGAATCTTTAGCCATAAATGGTGTGTTTCCAGTATTTTTTACATTCTTTCTTTATTATTATTATTTTGACTGGGGTTTTTATCCATACGGATATGTCAAATCCCATTTTAAATTTTACATTGAAATAAAATTATAAATTAGGTCACGACATTAAATTGGGTAACTTAACCTTTAAAATTCAATATATTTTTTTAATTAGGTAATTAAAAAATATATTATTTTTTTTCATTTGATTTATTACACCCTGTTTCACTCCAATCACGTGGAACACCATTTCAGTGAAATTTCAGGAAATAGTTTCTGAGTGAATACACACTTCATTAGGATGGGTTCGCATGCCAAATTTCGAGTCAGTTAACTTTACAGTTTCTATTTAGTGATTAGTAAGTTAGTCAGTGAGTGGAGTTCCGCTTTTATCCATTTAGATAATGGGTTAATGAAGGGATCGAATTCTGGTAATTTGTTTTTGATCAAAATAACAATGGCTCCGAAAGTTAGCGGCAATGTCGTTAAACAACGATATATGAAAAAATATTTAATGCACTTAAGTGTGAAGCTTATATATATTTCAATAAATACTTTATATAACATTTCCTACCTCAAAATTAAATAATTTGGATTTGGATAAGAGAAAGAAAACTTTTTACCCTTGATTTTTGCGTCAGATTTAAAAAAGCTATAAATCTTGTAAGGACTGATAAATGCTAGACTGAAGGCAGTAACCCAAGGAGAGTTGGCTCAAATAAAATATATGGGACTAATTTAACTTCGGCACAAGTAAGAAATAGTAATTTAAGAATTAATAGGGAACCTAAGACAAATAAAGTCGAAAGTGACATTATTATTTCTATGTAACACGGTATATCATTTTGAAGTGACTACCTATATCAGCGGTAATTGTTAATTAATCAACCATATTATGCACTAAATTAGGTCAAATATGTAAATAGAAGTCAAAAATATACACTTTAACACATTCAAATCTTTAGAATACAAAATTTCAGAACATTTTAGTGAAACAATAACATGAAATACAATCGAACAAAACGTTTATAAAGTCAAACAAAAAAATAATGCTACAGAAGTCCAGTGGTTTAATCACTTGACCATATAGCGGAAAGTGTTGGGTTTCACAATACGAACAGTGAAAATGTGGATAATTATCTATAAAAAAAAATACACTGCTGACGCAATTCGGAACTCCTGCTTTGAAACTTTTATATCCAAAAAATATTACTATCTGTATTTATTTGATATAAAAGCTATAGCTACGACCGTGAGTACTGCAATAATTTCTTAGGGTACAGTATAATTTATATCACTAATTTTGACAAATCAAACTCCAATTCTGAAGAATAAGTATAGTCCTTTAATACTGTTATTATAAATGAAAATACACCATAGTTAATATATAGTCATATTGTATAATGGGGTTTGTAATTATGAGTTCATAAAATTTGTCGAAATAATATAGGTACGGTCTTTTCATAACGATGTCACTTACATATTATTTTGAGAAATCATAAAAATGCTTGTAAACATAATAAGAAATTAGTGTTTTTGCAATAATCGTATTTGTTGTAATCAAATAAATAAAACATAGCTTCTGGTTTTGCTATCAATTCTATGTTCTCTTTTGCTTAAGAGGAGGAGGAACGATATTAATAACTCGAAAATCAATAATGATCCCGTAGATTTAAGTATATAAAAGCGAATATTTGTAATCTTTACTAGTGTGTTTGGAATAATTGCTCAAATGTTTAAGAGAAACAAGCGTTTTATGCAATTTCATAAAATGTATTTGTTTCAATATTCTTACACTAAAGTATACTTTATATAATTGTAATCCAAAGGTATCGTATAATGTTCTAGCGCTAGTACGTCGTTAATAAATTATTTATCAAATGTTCACTTCAACACTGTCTAAGGCTGCACTGAATGCGGTACGTTGTATTCTTCAGTGTAATGCTTTATTCATAAATATCTTTTAAATCTTTGAAAAGTTGTTATTTATAAAATTTAGTTCTTTTTTTTACAAGCTTAAATTATATGAGTCTGCGATATTTAACAATTGAGCAAATTCTAAAGAAACTTAATATGTTTTCATCTCATTCGTTTTAACAAACTAAATATAAGACTGTATATTATTACGAAGCATATTTCATATTTTATAGATTCGAATACTTGGTTTGCTTTTATTAGTAAACACATTATGCTTTTAGAAAATTCACCATTGATAATTCAATGTCTACGAAAGAGCTTCCATTCATCGTTTATATTTATTTTATATTATGAATTTTATATAAGTAAAGAGCTTATACGTTTTTCAACGAAAATATTAAAACTAATATAAGAGAGTGTTTTAAATAATTTGGCTTACACAATAACAACACTTATAAAATACTAATTCAAGTTTAAGGCTGTAGAGAATGAACTTTGTTGAAAAGGTAAAAAAAAATAATGGAATCAACAAGTATTTATGACGATTTTGAATCTATCTAACGCTTTCTTTCAAATTACATTATTAAAAATAAATGATGATATTTGAAAAATCAATTTGTTTAGAAAGTTTCAATTTCTTATAACATCTCCACACGGAAATGTGGTTAATTATGTGTCCTTTGTAGGGTTTAATACAGCCGACTTGATTCAGGTCAAGTATATTTCAGGGTTTGTAGCACAATGGATGATATGCTATGATTGAAATTGCTTATGTGGGTCGGAGATGACGCTAGGTAATTTCGTTTACAAACCATACAAAGCGTTTGTTAAACATAATTAGATAGGATAGATGAATTTAATAGAGGTGTTAATGCTAAATGCTTTACTAGTAAGACAGTAACAAGGGTTTATAATGTTTATTTCAATATAACATTTAGTTAATCTTATTCAAACTATTACCAAAGATACCAAAATAAAGAACTTAAGTATGAAATATTTCACTTTTCAACTGACAAAGTTTTGCATTAAGTGGATCAAAAAGTGAACTAACCAATGAAAAAGTTAAATATTGCAAGTATAACGGTAGGGGTATTAAAGCCATTTAAATAATGCATTACTCCTCATAAATTGAATCGAGACCATAGAATCCATTGTAAATGTTTGAAAATATTGAGCTGCTTTTGTAGATCGTATAGCATTAAGAAAATTGCGGGATAGCGAACAAACTGGTATTGGTTTTAGCGGAAATTGCTGGATCAATTTGCATATTGGATATTATATATTTTTGTACACGCACGTATTTAATTTAAGCATTGTTATTATAAAAAGAAACTCTTGTGGAAATTTCTTTGGCTTTGGGGGAGTTTCCTCTGAGATATTTTTAATTATCACTATTATTATGCCGAGTTAAGGAGCAATATTTAAAAAAGTTTTTATGTAGGTATGTAAAATATGTAAATCTAGGTCCTGTATCAAAACAAATACACAGGACCACGCGCGCGCTGTATATTGATGAAAACCGTATAAGAATCAGTTTTATTTACTTTGTTTTAAGATAACATAAAACTCTCGCTAATTGTACACGACCACTCCGCAGGCGTACCGCAGATAAGTTGTCGCACTTTATAACGAGCTAGCTGTTAACTAGCCGTGTAAATTACTTGAAAGAATTTTTAAAATCGGTAAACAATAGTTTAAATCTAGTTTATGGTTTAGATTGGTTTCCATTAAATCCCTTAATGTTTTTTTTTATTATGTGACGAATGTTTTCTATATATTGTATTGGTAACTTCTTTGTTTATTAATATTTGGAGACTATTTGGGTTAAAATTATGATTTTATAGGTTTGTAAATATTCAAAGCTGGTATTATTGAATTTGGGACAATTTTCAATTAAATGACTGATTGTTTGAATACTGGTGTTATAACGTGGGTATTGTGTAAAAACTCTAGATGGTAACGTGTAGTTTAAAACATCTAAACGTACAAACAGCGTACTATGTTTAAAATATATATCTAGCAGGAGACATTATAAATACATGAATACTCGTCGAGACGATTCAAAAGTGGATTTTTGTAATGTAGAATATTTATGAAATATATATTATGTATAATAAAAAAAAATATTTCGTAGAATTTTATTAAAGAAAAATAAAAAGCATAATAATAGTAAAATAACAATAGTAATCACTTTCGTTAATATAATATTATTACACTCAAGACTTTTTA